AGTAGTTCCAGATTTCTCTTTCTCACATTCCTCTGCAGATAGAATTAACCAATCTCTTTTGTGCACCTCACACAAATTCACATCACTGTTCTGTGTCATGCTATGTACACCTGCATACTGACATGCATGTCTCCTTTTCCTAGACTCTAGAGTCTATCTCTCAAGGATAGAGACCCTATCTATATATAAGCTGCTAACCAGCACCTAGCATAGTTAACTAGCAATACATAGCAGATGCTTACTAAAGGTTTGTTGGAAAGAAACAAACATATCTTATTTAACCAATCTCAGTTTACAAAGAAATTCTGGAAGTAGAAAAGCTTTCTAAGATAACAAAATAACGAAAGTACTGAATTTACAATGTTCAGACAAATTATAACAAATCAACGAAGTAGGTGGCCTAAACAACAGAACTAAAACAATGAAAAATGCAGGCTCTGTGACAAGGTTAACCATAAAATTATTGATAGAAGCGTCCAAATAATTTGTAGCATCAACTCGATTACTTGGTAACCAACAGACCACTGTGATTCTGGACCCTTTTTCAGAGAATATAGTGGGTCTACTGAAAGGAATGCACTGATACTAGATTAAGAGCAGAGGGATTGCCCCATGACCTGGCAGTTAAGGGAGCCAGGTCATTCAAGGCAGATTATACAGTTCAAATCCAGGCCTCAGCAACTTGAAAAATATGCTAGAGGCATATGCATGCATTCTCAGAATTCTGACACGGTAGAGAGATGGAAGAGAAAGGTTGTGTCACAACCACATGCCCTTGTAGGGTTTCTCCCTCTTCCCCTCTCCCTCTTCCCTTTCTCCCTCTCTCTCTCACATGCTCTCTCCAAAATTAGAAAGAAAAAAATTAAGAGCAGAGGTATCTTTATAGGTGGAGCTGGGAAACCAGGTCAGGAAAAGTCTTTTTTAAATTATTTCCCTATCATATAGTTTCCTCATTAATTTTATATTCTACTTAAAAATAAAGCAAAGAAGGTCAGACAATGGTACAGGGGTAAAATCCAATGCTCTGTAAGGCAGTCCCACATGGGAAAGGTTCCTAAAAAGATTTTAAATATACCAGGCATATATGTGCCCATAATCTGAGGCTGGATGAAGGCTAGGGGGGTAGATTACAGAGTCAAGACCCTATTGGGAGGGTGCTGTCTTTCTCTTGCTCATGAAATAATTAAATAAACTTTAAAAAGAAAAAAATATGCATAAATAAAAATGTTTACTAAATTAGCAGGTAGCATGGTGGTTAAGGCACTGGACTCCCACATGGCTGACTATAGTTTAAATCCTGGACTTGGTGGCTTGTTTTCTCATTTTCCCTTTTTATCTGTCTCTCTGGAGAGCACACAAGCCCTATAGCAAATTAAAAAATAATAAAATTAAATAAAATAATAAAATTAAATTTAGTTCATAAACAGGAGAGACTCCTACAACAGAAATATTGATGAAGGGACCAAAAGGTAAACACATCACACTTTGAAAGGCTGACCCACATGGGAAGGTTCTTGGTTCATGTCCAGATACCTGCCTGAGTATGTGAGCATACCTATCTCTATAGATCTGGGCTGACAGAAGTGGAGTTGGATGGTGGCCTCAAAACTCTGCTGGCAGTTCTCTCTTTCTCTCTCTCATGTATAGGTGGTGTGTGTGTGTGTGTGTGTGTGTGTAGATGAAACAGATAAACAGAGCCAGCCCCATAATGCACAGGTTAAGAGCTGTGCAGAGGAAGCCAGATCCCACACTGCTGACCAGGGCTCAAGATTGAGTCCCAGTGGGTACATGCCGAATGCACTTTGTGAGTATATGGGATCAAAAGATTGCAGTGTGACCAGAACTTGTTGGAAATTGCTTTTTTTTCTCCCCCCCCCCCTATTTTTCTCTTTCTGTCTCTCTCATATGCACATACACACATTCTCTGGCATAATAAAGGGAAAAAAGAAAAAATAATAAGTAAATCAACTTTTAAAAAATGTTGATGAATTTAAAATTAATCATGTTTAAGTACACAATTCAGGAGCATAAATTCTTTTCTTCAAATAGAAACTGCAACTATTTAGCAATGAATTCCTGTCCTCAACCACCCCAAGTCCCTGCTAATTTACTTCCTGTCTCTATGAACAGGCACAATCTAGATACTCCAGTAAGTAGAATTAAGTAACATATGTTTTTTGTATCTGGCTTATTTCTCTTAGGATAATGTTTTCAAGATTCTTTTATGTTGTAGCATGTATCCCATCTTCATTCCTTTCTTTGGCTGAATAAATACTCCTGTGTGTGTGTGTGTGTGTGTGTGTCTATGTGTGTGTATGCACACGTATGTATTCACACATTTTACCCATTCTTATGTTGATGGATATGATGCTCTTATATTTATTGTCAATGATCCATTTTGAGTTAATATTTATATCAAAGGGAAGTAAGGGTTCTAACTTCATTCTTTTACATGTGGAAATCCAATTGTCTCAGCACCATCTGTTGAAAAGACAGATTTTTTTCCTTTCATTGAATGGACTTGGCACCATTTTTGAAGATCATTTGGTCATTATAGTAGTTTCCCAGGGCCACCACAACAAAGTAGTATAAACTGAATGACTTAAAACAACAAAGGGCTATTTTTCTCACAGTTCTAGAATTGAGAAGTACAAAATCAAGGCGCTGAAGGGACACAGTGACTCCAAAATCTCTAGTGAAGTATCAATCTTTCCTTCACTCTTCTAGCTTCTGGTAGCTCCAGGTGTTCCATGGCTTGTGGGAGCATAATGCTTAACTCTGGCTCTATTTTAACATGGAAAATTTAATTCTGTGTTGGCTCTTTTCCTCTCATTATAAGATCACAAGTTATACAAGATTAGGGTCCACTCTAATAACCTCATCTTAATTTGATTACATCCTCAAAGATCTATTGCCAAATAAGGTGACATAATAGGTACTGAAGATTAGGACTTGGGATATATGGTCCCACTTTTGGTGCAACACAACTTAACCCGTTAACAGCCATAGGTGGGTTATTTATTTATTTATTTATTTTTGGAGAGGTTTTCTCTATAGGGCACGTACGCTCACCAGACAGACAGAGACAGAGAGACAGAAAGTGATAAATCACCCCCCAGGGGGGATGGCCACACCGCAGTCCCTTCTCCTCCATTCTCCTCTTGGGATCTTGGGCACACACACACACGCGCCCGGCATCAGTTTTAAGCCACCAGGTCCGGGACGCGAACCGCGGTCGACTACGTGGGAGTCCAGCGACATAGCCATTACACTAACTGCTGGTCCCAGCCATAGTTGATTTATTTCTGATGCTTCATGTCTTTCCCATTGGTCGGTATGTCTACCCTTATGGCACCATCATTAGCTTTCTACTGAGTTTTGAAACTGGAAAGTGGGAGCTCTCCAACTTTGTTGTTCTTTCTCAAGATTTTCTTGACATTAAAAAAAATACATGCCAGACTATCTTATTTTTCCAAACTGAATCAAATTCTTCAGAATTGAAAATTATTTGATCAGTCTTAATGAGGATCACAATGAGAATTATAATTTTCTACTTCTTTATAAACCTGACCACTTCTGATTAGGTGAGACATTGTCAATTTTACCATTTTGATAACAAACACTTGCAAGAATGTAGAGAAAAGGGAACTTTTTTATCTTTTACACTGTTGGTGGGAATTGGTATAGAAATTATGGAAAACAGTAGACTGGGCTATAAAGAATTTAAAAATAAAACTACCATTATTACCCAGCAACCCCTCTTCTAGACATACATCCAAAGGAAATAAAATCACCAATCATAAAGATATTTGCAAGTCCATGTTCATTGCAATTATTATTCATAATAGCAAAGATATGGAAACAACCTAAGTGTCCATCAACAGACAAAAGGATAAAGAAATTTTGGTGCTCAATACACAGTGAAATATTATTCAGCCATAAAAAAGAACTAGATCTTGCATCTGCCACAACATAGATTAACCTGGAAAACATTATGCTAAATAAGCCAGATACTGGGGCCGGCAGGTGGCATGGTGGTTAAGGGCGCTGGACTCCCACCTGGCTGAGCATGGTTAGAATCCCAGACCAGGTGACTTGCTTTCTCACTTTCCCTCTTTCTCTCTCTCTCTCTCTGCTCTTCACTGGTTGAATTAAACTAAGTAAATAAAGTTAAATAAAATAATTCTAATAAAATTAAAAGTCAGATACAGAAAGAAAAATATTGTATGATAACACTTATATATGGTATATCTTTTTTAAAAAAAAATCAAAAATACAGGAACAGAGTTGTAACAAAACAGTAGTTTTTAAGGAGTGGAGTTGTGGCAAGGGGCAGTGGGAATAAATAGGGAGATATACATACAAAGTAGCAGATATGTAGGATGAACCAGTCTACACCATCTAATGTACAACATGAAGACTACAGTTAATAAAACTACTATATATGCGATTCAGGCTATGGGTAACTTCAGCTGCTCTTGCCACAAAAAAAAGAGGGTAACTGTGAAATGATGTTTATTGGCTTTATTATAGTAACCTTTCTACCATCAATATGTATCTTACAACACTTCCATATCAAAAATATATGCAATAACATTTTTTTAAAAATATCAACATTCTTTCTTTATAATATACAGCACATATGATGTAAACTACATTCATCATTAAGGACATTAAGCTGTGAAACTAATTTCAGTATCACTGCAGTATTCACAATTAAAATTTGATTTTACTACATGCTATACAATTTTATAAATTATTTACAAGTTTTATTTTAAAAGGTATAGAGTGTAATTTCTTACTTAAACATCATCTTCTATCTGAGCCCTCCATTTATCAAATATATTCACCAAGACTCAGAGCTTTTATCAGATGATTCAAGGAAGTGAAAAATTAACTCAACAATATCTAGAGTTAAAAAAGGGAGGATCAGAAAACTCAGATATAAACAGTGTCACACATTAAAGGAATGAAACCAGAGAGAAAGCAGACTCAAGTACCTGCAACATGAGTTCACAGTCATCTCTTCCAACAAAAATCATTTCTCGTGGCAGCCTGTGGCGAGTGCCTCCACTGCTCACCAAAAACCAGGATGTTAAGCTCATTTTCTGCTTAGCTTCTAAGTCTCTGGCAAAGCTACGTCATCCTGCAGAAAGATATGAAAGATAAATATATGTTCAAATATTTTTAAGTTTTAGTATCTATTTATTAAACCCAGTAAGTGTATGTAATACAATTGCATTCATCAACATTTATACTTGACTAAATAATCTGCCCACAGGTCTCAAAAAATGACATACACAATAAATTGTCATCAGTAAAAAACCCACAGACTCCACTAAAAATCCAATTAAAAAGAAAGAAATTGGGGCCAGCATGTGGCTTGGTGGTTAGGGCATTAGACTCTCACATGGATGACCACCGTCCCAGATCAGACAGCTTGAAATTCACACCAGGGAAGTATGTGTGCATGCCCAAAATCCCTGGAAGAGGATGGAAAAGAAAAGAGAGGGGGGTGGCCATTCCTTGAGCAGTGAGTTTTCACTTTCCCTTTTCTTTTTTCTCATCTTTCTCTGGTGAGTGCACATGCCCTATGGCCAAAACCTAAAATGAATGAATGAAAACAAAATAAAAGAGAAGAAAAGAAAGAAATTAGGGACCAGCAGTTGACGTAATGGCGTGTCGCTGGACTCCTGTGTAGTTGACCGTAGTTTGAGTCCCAGATCAGGTGACTTAAACTCATGCTGGGTGCATGTGCGTGCATGTCCAAGACACAGAAAGGAGAATGGAGAAGGGACTGTGGCGTGGCCATCCCCCAGGGAGGTGATTTCTCACTTTCTGTCTTTCTGGCTAGTGCACACGCCCTATAGCAAAAATCTCTCCAAAAAAAAAAGAAAAGAAAGAAATTAAGGTAATTGAGTAGGTGGTCAACTAGTAAACGTTTTTTTTTGTTGTTGTTGTTGTTGTTTTTTTTCAGTCAAAAACAGAATGCAGGGGACCAGCAGTTGGCATAATGGCTATGTCCCTGCACTCCCACATAGTTGACCATGGTTTGAGTCCTAGACCCGGTGGCATAAACTCATGCTGAGCACATGTATGTGTGTGCCCAAGATCCCAAGAGGAGACTGGAGAAGAAGGGACTGCAGTGTGGTCATCCCCCCGGGGGGTGATTTCTTGCTTTCTGTCTCTGTCTTTCTGGCAAGCACACACGTCCTATAGCAAAGACCAAACAAACAAACAAAAAACAGAACGCAGAGACAACAGCTCCATAAGGAGGAGCACACAGTCTAGGTATTTAGTTAGCTATACTATCCTAGCTGTACAGTTGTTCATACTACCTAGGTTTATATAAGTATACCCTATGTTTGCACAAACACACAATGATCTACTAACATATAACTCATAACTTCTCCCCATTGTTACGTGATATACTAGACTGTCAGAAAAATCGTGATGTATTTTTCTATGCCTTTCTTTGCAAAAATGCGTAATGATATTTTTGACAACCCAATATAACCATATCTTAATTTCTTAATATATATTCTTAGAGCAGCAATTCTTTTTTTCCTTTCTTTTTTAAATTTGCTATAGGGTATGTATGTTCATCAGACAGAGATGGAGTGAGGGGTGGGGCAAGAGAGAAAGAAGTGAGAAAACAAGCCGCCAAGCCTGGGACTCAAACCATGGTCCAGCCATGTGGGAGTCTAGAAGCTTAACCACCTGCTAGCCATTTTATCATATTAAAAATGAAAATTAAAAAAATCTGGTATTAAATTCATTTGAAATTATAATAAACCAATTTCATTTAAAAATTATTAGTATTTCTGTAAAAAAAAATCTATTATTTCCCCAAACAATACTAGTGAGAAAAGCAGTATTTTTTACATTTTGCAAATCTCTTTAATGTCTGGCTTAATAAAAGAATCTCATATCTGCTTTGCATTCAATCTGTGGTCATATATTGTTAAGTTTGAAATGAAGTCTGGCTTCACACAGATAAATAACTGGAAAAGAGATATGTTTCTAATAGGCTCTTCAAATAATTAAGGATAATTTTCTTAGATGCTACATCAAAACATGGTCTAGACTGTGGTCTTTGGTTAAGAAAGCTAGATCCCAATGGCTAATAGTGCAGTTCAAGTCCCAGACCCAGTGGCTTGGGAAACACTTCAGACGCATGTGGGTATATGCCTAAAATCCCTAAAACAGGGAGGAATGACGGAGAAGAGAGTGTGACATGACCATCCCCAATGGGAGGATGCTTTCTCACTTGTTCTCTCTCTTTTTGTCTCTCCAGAGAGAGTGCACACCTAGCAAATTAAAAAAAGGAAAATATCTCACGTTTATAGATTGGAAGAATTTATATTATTAAAATATCCATAATACCCAAAGCAATCTGCATATTTAATACAAATTCTATCAAAATTCTAATTTCATTCTTCATATAAATAGAAAGGACAAATTTAAAATTCATATGGAACCATAAAATATTCCAAATAGCCAAAGTAATCTTACCAAAAGGAAGAAAATTTGAGCCATCACACTACTGAATTTTAAAATAAATTACAAAGCTATAGGAATCAATATACCATGACACCAGCATAAAATGAAACATATCATCCAATGTAATAGGAAAGAGAGCCCAAATATCTATAGTCAATTGATTTCTGACAAAAATTTCAAGATCATAAAATAGGAAAAAGACAATCTTTAAAAAATGGTGTTGGGAAAGCTGGATCTCCACATACAGAAGAATAAAAATGAACCCTTATTTTAGCCCTTATACAAGAATCAATTCAAGGTGAATTAAAGACAAACAATATGAACTGAGACTATAAAACTACTAGGAAAAAAACATAGAGGAAAAGCTTCATAACATTGGTCTGAGCAATGATTTCATGGATTTGACCCCAAAAAGCAAAGGCAATGAAAGCAAAATTAAATAAATGGGATTGGATCAAACTAAATAAAGCTCCTGCACAGCTAAGAAAAAGCTAATAGAGTGAATTGACAACACATGGACTGGGGGAAAATGTTTACAAATCATACATCAAGTAAGTGGCCAATACTCAAAATCACAAGGAACTCAAAATACTCAGTAACAACAACAAAATAACCCTATTTTTAAAATGAGCAGGTCCAGCCTTGGTGGTACCAGTTGTTGGTAGCATACTGAACTGCAGAACTTGAAGCCACACGGCCTTCAGACAGCTCAAGCAGAAACATGTCAGGCATATGTGCTCATCCCCAAGATCCTGAGGAGCTAGAGGGCTGGGAGAAGGGAATCATGATGCGACAAGAACTCGTTGAGTGTGGTTCTGTCTCTCTAGTGCATGCTTTCTCAAATTTGCTTTTAAATGAGGAAAGGACCTGAACAGCATTTCTTCTTCTTCTTTTCATTTAAACACTCAAATGCTATAATTTAAATGATAATTTTTAGCATTAGTGATAATATACTATAAGTATATGATCATTTCTCTAGTTGGTGAGCTCTGAAAGCAGGAAAACTGTCTCCCTCTATCCATCCCTTCTTTCAACATTTGTTAAGAAGCCTATCAAGGGGCCAGCAAATAATGCAGTGGTTGAGACACTATACCACTGGGAGACATGGCGGACTGTGGTTCGAGTCCTAGACCTGGCAGCTTGCTTTCTCTCTTTCTCTCTCTGTGTCTGTCAGGTCAAATTAAAAAAAAAAAATCATGCTGCTGAATAAAATTACAATAAAATAATTCTTAAAAAAGCCTACCAAGTCCAGTCACTCAGCACATATAGCACACACAAAGGCAGAACAAACAAATTTTCCTCAAAGAACTCAGTCCTATAGGGAATGCTATTCAACATACATGTTATCAGCAAATAATTTTCCAATTCTTATGTCTTATATACTTTGTTTTTTGTTTTGCCATCCTTGATTCCCTAGCCCTTACCCTCTGCCATGTCCCACCCTCCTCCCACATTGTCTCTGGTATCTATGGTTGCTTTCTATGCCTTTCCCCCCCCATTTAATTGATTTGCTAATGAACTTAGTCTAAATATATCCAATAGCTAGCACAGCTGATATATACCTATACATGAACCCAAGTCTGACTTTAGGCTATTCAATAGATACCTTAACATAGATGAGCCTAAGGAGATAACCAGGACAAATAGATTACCATTACTCCAGATTAGGATGGGGAAACAGAGGATGGCATTGTTCCAAGTCTGCCCATGGAATACAAAGATGTTTTTTCACCTCTAAATACCTAGCCCAATTTCATCTATAGTGAGTGTTTGATAAGCTATTTTTAATGAATGAAATTAGTAGCTCTGTAGCTGTTACAAATCTTGAAGTGAGGTTAACCCAGAAATCTCAAAAGGCAGGAGGTGAAGAGTTAATCATTTAACCTATGGTAGCAATTAAATCTCGTCATTAAATCCTAGTTATGCCTCCTTTTCAGTTGGCTATTCTTTTTTCCCTTATCACATAGGCTCTATTTTCTGCATCTATATGACAAAAATGTAAAGCTCAGATATGTTGAGGTCAGATGGATGTGAATAAACATTGACTCAGCATGGCCAGCCCATTTTCACATTCCTAGAACTATAATTAATATCAAAAACTAAATCTCCTGCTAGATCAGAGTTTATTCTAGAATTCAATGAACTAAAATTGAGTATTAAAGCTTTGAATTCTTAAAAAAAAAATTCTGCAGCTTTTGAGCAGAGCACAGAGCTTAACTACACTCTAGGTTTCAACATTATGTATAATTTGCTGTTCTTATTTACACTTAAAACTGTTGCTTCCAGGGGGACCAGCAGTTAGCATATTGGCTATGCTGCTGGACTCCCACGTAGTCGATCGCGGGTTACGGTTTGAGTCCCGGACCAGGTGGCTTAAACTCACGCTGGGCGCATGTGCGTGCGTGCCCAAGATCCAGAGAAGAGAATGGAGAAGGGATTGCGGCATGGCCATCCTCCCTGGGGGGTGATTTCTCACTTTCTATCTCTCTGTCTCTCTCTGTCTTTCTGGAGAGCACACGTGCCCTATAGCAAAAACCTCTCCAAAATAAATAAATAAATAACTGCTGCTTCCAGGACCAGCAGATGGTGTAATGGTTACATTGCTGGACTCTCACATGGCCAACTGCGGTTCAAGTACCAGAC